AGGTCCAACTGACACCCTAACCCTGCTCTCTCGAGCAGCCATGGGGAACAGGGGAGTGGAATTACAGTTCCAGAGGCCTTCTTTAAAGTTATCATTAAGTTAACGATCCGGGTCACCCCGCGACACTTGGGGTACAGGGTGCGACTTCCGCATGTCAGTGACCACATTCATCTGAGACTTCAAGGTATTTCGATGTGACTTCTATTTTCAATGTTTCATCATTGCACGAATTTCTTCTATAACTATAATCACAGAGGTGAACTTACACGCAACTTTGAAAATATTCCACTGCCTTTGGCACAACGAATAGATCCTTTCGAATAACAATTGGTTTAGCTTCCAACGTTATCTAAAATATTGCAAATAAAATTGTTTACCGATTCCATAAATCAACATCATGTGTTGAGGGATATTCTAGATCAGGTCATTTAAAATACTGCCAGCGTTATTACTGGTAATACAGATAATGGTACTAAGAGGTTTTACAGCTTTACAGGCATTCAGTACCTAACGGGTTAACTCTTTATGTCGTACTTCGATGATTTCCCTCTGTCGGGTTTGACCCCAGGCTTCGAGATTAGTAAAACGTACAGCGTAGATCTTTTCTACAAACTGTACAAAAAGGTTCCATTGTAGCAAAATTTTTATACATGCACAATGCACCCATCTGTTAATTTGTGTTCATTGTGTGTGCCAATTGACCCACATGGCAGACCAGCGAATGTGATCATCGGCAAGCAAGGTAAACAAAGGGGTCGAGGAAAATATACGACAGATGAACACACAAAAATCTAATATGATTATGACTGGTGTCACTGATGATATTATAAAATGCTAAATAAACGAGCTAACGATACTGAATCAAATTATTACAGAAGGATCCAGGAAGGTCGAGCAAGCACCGAGAACTACTACTATTATGTTGATGGCATTAAAAAAATAAACAATAATTCCTCAACATTAAATCCATAAATTTAGAATATAAATGTTAACACAATTGAAGTGGAGAGATATTCACACTCGCACATTTAAACTATAGATGTGGGTATTACATTTTTGAAACTACCCCTTGCCATCCTGACAATAGAATATACAAAAACAATAGACCCATACCTTAAGGATTAATAATTTAAAAAAGAGGGTAAATCCATGATTTTCCTCATTATAATCTACAGATAGCAACCACATCTGAAGGAATATCAGGGTTAGATCTCTATAACCAGGAAAGAGAGAGAGAGAGAGAATGTGTCGTTTTCTCTCTCTTTCTCTCTTTACTCTCGGGCAAAAAGGGTTTGAAATAGGCCTAATATAATGCTAGTCTTCATAATATACCGCGAAGCCATAATCTATCTAGTCTAATTGGTATTTGTTTCACGTATATTTGATCTAGTTGGCATTGGAAAGTAAATGACCGGTATAATATTATTTAAATGGCTGTTTGTCTAGAGGAGACGGAAATTACTATTTAATTTGAAAAATACGAAAAGCGGTAATAATGGATTTTCACATACGATGAAACTATTTTGGTCATTATTTTTCTGTATGACGCAAAGGAACACGTAGAGATATGTAACGATTGATCATGTGCCTCAGGCTTCTATTATCTGCTTCTATCATGAAACATGACTACGGACGTGTGAGATAAATCAATCATTTAGAGTATGCAATCTGACATGCTTGAATTAAAATACAAAAAAATGCAGTAATATATCTGTAGCCTTTTCGATAGAACTAAAATTTTCCTTTTTCTTTCGAGAAACGGATCCTTCAGTTTCAAAATGAAACGCTTTAATGTCAATGCAATTTAATGCTGCTGTTACATCCAAATCCAGAACGAAATTCATCCTTTTCATCAATCAAGATGAACAAGAAATCCGGATGACATCTCATAAGTATAGTTTTTTAATATGAATCGCTCACAAAATCCATACATTAGTCATCTCTTCAAACAATTGAAATACATAAAAGAACCAAAACTTATCGCTTGCATACCTGTCAACCTGAGACAAGAGAAATTAGGAGTAAATTTTTCTGGATGGACTACGAGGTCGCGAACCACCGAAGGATTGGGGTAGTAGCCCGTAGATTGGGGGGGGGGGGGGGGTACACAGGACTTTAGGGTCTATTTTTTTTTCCATGTCGCTGTGTATATCTTCTATGAGCGCGAGCGCGGATGTCGGCGTGATCTGGTTATCAGTGCTGTGTTATGCTTTAGTCTTATACATACATACATATTGGTATTTATTGAGCGCCTTTACATGAACATGCTCAAGGCGCTTTACATTTCAAAATACAAACATAATAGTTATATACTCTCCAAGTGCATTACACTCTAAAAAAAAAAAAAAAAAATTAAATTAAAATGCATGCACTCGGAATTCGGAGTTGGTATGAAAAATGCGGAGGAACTCCGCCTAAATCGGGGTGGTTGGCAGGTATGCGCTTGTAAAGTCAAGACTAGTTACCTAGCTACAAATGCAAGACCAATTTCTGTGGTAAAGAATTTCAATAAAATAAAAGTTATAACCAGGTCAATTCTGTTTCGATAGAATGGAGTGCATACAAAGTTGAATACATGTCATTGTTGTTCATAGATAAATATAAAAAACATTGGTCATCTCTTCAATCAATCAAGTCGAAATTGCTCGTAACGTTCAGAATATAAGGTATTCGGTCGACGCAAATGCATAGGATAAAAGGTGTCCTTACAAAAATTAACAATGCACACTGCACAATTAGGCACAGTTCGCTGTAACAAAACAAGAGATTCGCTTCCTGGATGCAAATGTGCATTAATCCTATTTTGGATGAACTTGAGATGCATCAACAAATTTATAAGACGGGTTCTAGAATCTAAGCAATCCGATTGGTGAATTGACTTCACGTGGGCGTGCATTCATTTGTGGCACTGACTAAACTTCGTTCCCTGGTCGTGCACTAACACTCGCAACAGTGCATTATTTGTATATTGTCCTTTTTCAATATGAAGAGATCGCTTATCAATATCTGTTACGGGAGAAACTGGGGAAAAGATGAGATATCAATTTCTCAGAGCCTAACACGTAAAGGTACATTATAGAGAAGGGAAAAAAAGGTAAACACATCAATCATTCCAGATCCCGAGCAACGATTGTTTTGCTATTTGCATACTTCAAGTCACAACGAACATTGAGTGGCCACAGACACTCTCATGTCTTAAGTTCCATGATCTGATAATCATTACATGTCATCGTTATATTTATGACGTTTTGGAAATAACATTTACACGTAAATCTCCCCGATTGTTCTCTTAAGCCTTAGAAAGCATATTCGAAAATGAAAGTTTCCAGAAGCTATATGTATTTAGGCCTATACACATAAAATGAGCTTTCATTTATATATACATGTATATCTATGTAATGTATATATACGAATCAAAGTTCGAAGATATGCATTTAATGCCAACTTTGTAATTGAAAATCAAATTACAAATATTACATTTCTTCAAAGTGTAATCTCTATACTGTCGAACACATACTACCAATACGTATATGAATCAACATGTATATATATATATATATATATATACAGGCTGTAGAGTAATCGTGTACTTTTAAGAATGCTATCAGTTGCCTGATCATCACTTGCAAGGCGTGAAACTCGAAGTAGTAACCATGTTCCATTAGTCTGCCTTATTCCATATATTTTTGCTCTGCCTAGGCATTGAGCACTATACCGAAGGATAGCGCAAACCCAAGTATATATTTATATATACCCGAGTTGTAGAAGTAAACTCAGCATCACATTATATATATTATGGAAGCTCATTATATCATTCTGTTTGTACATCTTTTCCCTTAGAGAAATTACAGAAAGTGTTTTCTAAAGGAAAACATAATACAATCTACAGGGATCCCATCAGCTTTCTAAATGTCACCAGTAATGCCTCGATAAAACGGATAGAGCATAAACAACCTCTGAGCATTCCCACATCCAAACACATATATTCCCGGGACAGGGGTTGGTATTTTAGTAATGAAGGAGAATGAAGGAGCTCGAATGCCGTACAATCCCGCCCGGATCGATTAGTGAACACACCTGAGTATTGTGTAGGGACTGGATGATCATGTTATCACAACTTGCAAGAAAACAGAATGGGGCGAATCGCTCCAGAGAAAAAATAGGCAACTGTTGTCTTTTGTTATCGCTCGGTTCAGAGGGGAATTATTCGAAAAGTTGCACTCCATTATGGAATTGGATAGTTGCCATATTTGCAATCTGTAAATATTGGTAGCTCTGAATGACAGATTTTTTTTCTTTCTCGTTTGAGCAACGAAGGAATCTTCGGGCTGAAAATATTTTGGAATGATCTTGATCATTATGATAAGAGTCAAATCTTCCTATTCGCTACTTGCATAATTTCATGTCTAAGTAATAAATAAAATCATTTTATATGATGTGTAATTAAAAAGTCATACATTTCATTTTCTAAGAGCTAGGAAGATCAGAGTAGAGGAAATCAACGCTTGCACTATGCGGTTAACATACTTTCTACAAGGTTTTATATCGATGTATTTCTTTTTCAAATAATAAATACTTATACTTCGTGTACACCAAATATTCGTTGTAAGCATAGCGAACGTGTTAAGAATGACATGGTTTAGCGATGGAAAGCTGTATGATCTATGGATGTGAAACAAAGATAACTTTCATGATGTATGTGGTTTCTACGAGACAAAAACATATTTTACATTTTCTTGAGAAATCACTAGATTAGGTGGATATCGAATACAAACATTTGACAAATTTGAAAGAGAAGAATTTGAATCCTCTCCCTGATGGCACAATTCAATTACATGTAACAACTGGGAAATGTTTAGGAAAACAATTTTATATATATATATATATATATATACATATATCTATCTTTATATTACATCCATATAATTATTATACACACACATGAAGTATATGTATATACCATGATATTTCAAAAGGAGAAAATAACACCGCAAACTTACGTCTGTAAAATCAGGCGACACTGTCAAATGTAGGCTGGTATATCCAACGATCTCAACTTAAATGGGAGTAATCCTTATTTGTCTTTATCCATCAGGAAAAGCACATCTCCTGGAACTCGGAAATAGTTTCAGTAGTTTTTCCACAAGCTGTAGATATTCAACTCAGCGAGAAAATACAAGACGCGTGATAGCTCTTGACAATAAGGTGACAGTCCATGAACCTTTACGAATATCCATTTAATCACCAAAAGCAGTAAAAATGTCCAAGCATAAGACAATATAAAAAAACTGGATAGTCGGAATCAATAACCCGCGAAACAAATAAAAGAGGACACGTTTGTACTCATCAAGGGTTAAATCTGTAAATGACAATATATATCACGACTGCCGTTTCAAAAGCATATCCTCCGGTGACAGGGCGTCTGACAAGTTACATTTTGTTTCCTTCTTTTTTTACAACATCAACACGGCTCTCCGTAAAAAACAGATCGCTTCGATCTAAAAACGGATTAGATGTGCTATCGCATACGTTATAGAGCATAGACTGTGATCATCATTTATAATGCATCTGTCTAGAGATACTTAACATCTTTTTGATAATCTTTGATCCCGCAGATATGTGATATCTTGAGAAGTCGTCAAAAAGCTGGCATTTCGTCTACCGCTGACGATTAATCAAAATATGAGATGAAACATGAATAGCGAACTTCGACGCACACGCTTCTTCGGTAAGTATTCCAGGTATAATTGCACAGACGCGCGCTGCGGTGTAGAGTGATGCTCGTTGTTTTACAACGCACTCTGGTCAAAACCCTCGATTCTATATAAGGTCACAAGGGGAGGAGTTTGATGAAGCGACAGCCAATGAAATGATAGAAAATCAGACCACTCATGAAAGTATAGGGTGGGTGAGTGTGTGTAGGACGGGTGTGTGTGTGTTTGTTCATGTGGTGTACGAAATGAATAAAGATAAATGATTGGATAAGCGTCGCACTGCACACATCCGTTTCTTTGTGTGCGGATGCTTTGCGATACAAACTTGTGTCCTTCACTGATCTGTGATTGGCTGAAAGTTTCATTTCTAATTAACAAAAAAATTATTATATTAATGGTATGTAATTAATCTCCTTTTCGAATGCTGAACATCAGTCTAGAAAAAGCAGTTAAATGAATGTACATATCATTTAAATAAATGAGATTTTAAATCGAAGAGTAAGAACATAACAATTTATTTCCTTCACCATCCAATTCTACCTCTTAATTTTTTTTTTTTTTATCGATGCGTTTTCCTAATACGTTCAAAATAATTAGCAGAAATATACTTTTCTTAATATAATGCATTATATGCCTTTTCCTTTAGCTATTGTAGCCCAAAGAACCAATACATACTAAAATTAATCATTTCTAAGTCAAAATTAGTAGCGATTGAAATAAATGGCTAAACTTGTTCAATATTTTATGAAAATGAACCCACGCGAATTCAGTAATGAAATTGATTTTACAAAAACACTTTCGTCATGGAGTATAGACGGGGGCGGGGGGGGGGGGGGGTGAACGGCATGACAACTGAAATTGATTATCTGTGAAGAGGAGCAGATCCTGCTTAATTGTTTGATCACGCAGAGAAGAGAGGTATTATCAATATTAAATGAATACTCTCTTCGCTTGGACGTGCAAACCATTATCTTGAGTAGATTCGCTAATCATAAGAGAATTGATATGTTAAGGTAAAGCATCAATTTATAAACCAATATTTAAAGCCCCAGGTAGGCTCAATACTTCGTGTGAGATAATGAAAATAATTGTTTTTCAAGAGTGTGTGTTATGTGCTTAGTATCTACTGACCTTCAAACCGATAAGTATTTTACGATTTATTATTGATGTAACTAGAATAACTCAATAACTATGTTCTTCATGTATTCAATTAAATATGTTCATCATTAATTGATAATGATAACAATTCAACATTAAATAAATATTTTTACACTGTTTTAATAAAATATTGTGGAAATTGAGCCATCAGAATTTATATTTAAGCAAATATGGAAATTGCAGTCGCTGCATGCTAATAGGTTATAGAAATGTCCCACAATAATCTACCTCGTTACCGGGCTCCAGATAAACGGTACTGAATATATGCATTTATGGACTGAATACGTGTCGTTTGTTTATACAAACAGAATTTCGAGTACATACACGTATACATACAAACACACACACCCACGCCCACACATGCACAACTAATGAATCGACAATGTAATAGCATTGATGGACATAAATGTCAACTGTTTTCTGCTGGTACGTTGATAACATATCTCATTGATTTATATGCACACCCACACACATTTATAGGTGTCGCGGTCTAATGGATACGTCGTCGGACTACGGTTCATATGGTTTGCGGTTCGCATTAATGTCCTTTGGCAAGACATTAATCTATTATTACCCCACTCCATAGAAAATAATTCCTTGAATGCTGTTAGCACAGAAATCGGTAGCCTAAAAATATGGTCACAACCCCAAAAAGTAGCCTACAAGGCGGCCGGGCGGCGAGTTTTTAGCCAATTTCGCCCAGGCACCGAGCGGCGGCCGCACTGGCACCGCTCGTTTGTAGGGCATCGCTCGGTCGCCGTTGAAGTTTTAGCGCGGAGTTAAAATTCTGCATCGCCTGCTCACTTTTCACTCGCCGCCCAAAAATACGCTCGGCCGACCGCCCGGGCACCGACCTAATCGAGCGTTCGCCGTCGAGCAATTAAGGTAAAAAAATCGAAGCCGCTAGATCAAGGCTGCAGAGCGGTCGCAGCCCGTTCGTCGCTGGGAGATCATTCGGTTGGGCGGCGGGTTTAAAATCGGTCGGCAGCCTTAGACCTAGCAGCTTCGATTTTTGTTCAAAAATTGACCGGCGACAGACGGGAAATCGCTGGGGCTCTACAGCCTGCTCGACTTCTCCTAAAATCGTTTGGCGATGCCTAAATACCAGCGGCGACCGAGCAGGCTACAAATCGGTCGGTCGCCGCTCTGAGTTGTGACCAAAGCCTAATTGAGCAGGGGTAACTGGTGCGCCCTGAGCGTCTTGCGCGGTGAATAAGTTCGCTGTAAAATATCCAACATTTGTAAAATAATTATTGAAAACCTTACGACAATGTCACACAATTCTTCGTCGTTTTACAATCATACCCAGTCTTTAATCGGGTTCGCTCACAAATAAAATGACCAACGGCCAAATTCAATTTAAACCTGACGACAGAGTCGTACTTTTTTCCACTGGACAATTGAATTTATTTCAAAACATGCATCCAATATGCCAGCCTTTAACAAATGTGATTAATATTTTATGAAAATGTCCTTCGATAGTTGCGTTGACCGCGAAATCGAATAGTTTGACCAAGCAATTACTTAACACAAATGACCGTGGCCTGCAAGACGAGGTTTAATGTCGGTTTGATTAGATACGCTTTTACGGAGAGGGAATACTTGAATGGATATTCGATATAGAGGTAAAGCTCTGCGAGGCCAAGCATTTATAAAAGTCGTAATCATTCACCGATTGCTCTGAAGGCACGGGGTATTTTAACTGAACTTACTAAGAAAGAAGTTAATAGAGTAATCTTAAATCAAATTTGTGATGCGGGAAACACTGTCAACTATTACCTCACTTCCCAGAAGTAATGATTTTACTTATATTGAATTCTACCTATTCTACCTAAAATTACACCTTCAACGACAGGGACTTTGATATATCGAGGACTTTGAATAAGCTTCGAATTGTGCAGATATCTTACCCAAAGGTAATAAAGGTAAAGGCAATTAGAAAATATGAACCAAATAACGACAGCACCTTTGCTAGGTGTTCACTTGCAATATTTTACCATAATTGTAGGTGACACATGGGCACCGGAGCAATTAAAACGTCGACACAAATGCAACTGTCATCCCTCATATGAAAGGCGAGGGGTCGTTCGGAATCCCCAATCAGAAACACGAATTTAATGTCATTAACTTTTGTATTTTCTAGTAGAACGTATGTTGCTATTTCAATTTCATATCCCCTGTTTCAACTTATCGAGTGCAATTGTTGTTTATTTTTTAACGCTAATTAATAATCTGAATTACCTGATGGGGAAAAGGACTCGGCGTCTTACTCTTAAGGACTTTACTCAAAACCAACTACATGTGAGGTTTTTTTTTCTTTCTTTTTCTGAGTTATTTGCCAACGGAAACACATTACAAGTATAGAAGATGTATTCTTATTACCCTACATAGCTCATACAATGATAAAAGGTAATGTAAAATACCATCTGAAACACATCAAATATTCATCTCTTTCAGCGGTTACCTGTTCTCGGACCTCCATCGCACATACTTCAACAAGGGACGAGGGAATACAGCATCCTTTCATGTGCCATCACCAAGGACATACCTTTCGCTAGCGTGATTGATCTGGATGGGATTGAGTCCTGATCTGCGGAAATAGCAAGTGCCATCTTAGTTTATGGGAATGCGGCAATGACACTGAAGAGGATTCGGTTTGGCGAACCGTTGCCTCAGGATAACCTGATGTTTCAGAGGAGGTAGATAAGGGATTAAAGATGCATTATCATGTTGTTGCTGTTGTTGTATTTGTTCCTATTTTTCACCCAGGGAGCCACATCAGAATTAATACTGCTCTCCCCCCCCCCCCCAACAATATCCGGGCTGGGATTCGAACCCTGAATCATAAGATTGAGAGCCAAGGAAATGAACCACCCTACCACGACACCTAAACGTTGTCATTGTTTATGATGAAATAAAGAATTTGGATAGTTATTGGACTGAGTGGGACGATAAATATGCGAATTCAAGATTAATGAATTTTGATAAAAGACATAGGTGATCCTAAGATGAGTTCTTAGAGAAGGAAAACGAAGCTTTACACCGTTGATGCTTTGGAACCAAATGGCGTCGATTTGATATCTGCAACCCTTCTCAAATCCCCAATACATCTGGGTATTCTTAGTTTCACATTTTCCTCTTCGACCTTTGCAAATTTAAGTTTGCCCACCCCTCATTTGCTTATCATTATCCTTTTTTAATCCCTTCTTTCCTTTTTGACGGTATTACCTAAATAACTCCCAACTTCTAAGCACATTATTTGTGCTTCAGATCGCAGAGACGTGATGCGTCCGGCAGATATGGAAAAAGACGCTTTTGTTAATGTTTTGGGATGTCTGTATCAGCATTATTGAAGACGTTCAATTAGTAAAGTGAACACTAAAACGAATCATCAATCAGTAACTTCTTGAATGTGAAGATGATGAAGATTCAAACTTCCCATTCTCTCACCGTCCCCTTTCTCTCTCCCCTCCCTCTCGTTCCCTCTACATCTCCCTCTCCCTCTTACACCTCTCTCTCTCTCCCTCCCCTCCCTCCCTCTCGTTCTCTCTTCATCTCTCTCCCTCCCCTCTCTCTCTCTCTTCCACCCCTCTCTGCCCTTCCCCTCACTTCTCTCACCCGACTCTCCATAACAGTGAGATGGCGTTCGAAGCACGTCACATCACTTCTCACGTCCGATGTCAGGAAGAGCTTTAAAACGAAATCGCAATTAGACCCTCTTACGAATGCATCAGGAAATTTCCTACGATTGATTGTTCCTTAGTCACATTCCCACTTTACACTTTTCAACAATTCACTGCACAGAAAATCGTCGGCTGCCCGCAAAAAAGCCGTTTGGTTTGGTTTGGTTTTATTTTCCGTATAAAATTCAATACATACAAGAATACAATTTACA